TTTCACATTTTGATATTTGACTTTGTGATGTTAAAAATTTTGTTCTATGAAAAAAACCTATCAATCTTTTGTGACTCTTGGGTTTTTAGATGTTTACGAGGGCATATATTATATATTCTCCGTATGTTCATCTAGAACATTTATGGATTTTCTCCTCTAAGTCTTTCCTCTTTACTTTGAAAGAAGGTGAGGGGCTTTCTGTTTCCATGACAGGAAATGTTCAGTCTGTTATCAGCAGTGCCTGCAGGTTTCCTACCCATTTCCCTTATGCAGAGACAGAGAGAAGCAGCCACATGGCAGGTGGGCAGCAGATGTCCGGCAGTGGGTGGAGGTGGCAGCACATGAAGCCATGACACGAGTGGCTGGCACAAGGGATTGAGTCTGGTCTGGATGCATTGAGATGAAGCTGGGTCTGAGGTCACAACAAAGACACTAGAAAACTGGGATTGGGGGGCCAGAGCCCAAGATGGACCCCAGCAGAGGCGATCTGAGCTTCTAGAGACTCCAGCAAAGCCAAGGCTTGGAGTTGTCACCTTGTCACCTGGTGCGGCTACAGATGCCCCTGTTCCCCTCTGGCTTGTGAAGCGGTTCTCCACCCTGGGGCATTTGGACTCAGTGGGGCCTTTGGACTCAGTAGGTCTGGGGTCAAATTTGGAAATCCCCAGGCCATACTCCAGTGCCCAGCCAGTCGTGCACACCCACCACCTGTGCAGCTGCTTTGAGTTCCTTGGCGTCAGGGTGGCGGTGAGCACTGCCTCGGGGCTGCACAGTGTGCAGCCAGCCCACTCCGGGGTGCTGCCTAGGACAGCTTCCAGAGGTCAGGGACAAGCTGCAGACCCCATTTGCCGGTCTGGGGCCACACTTGAGTGACTTGGGCTTGTTCATCTCCGCCCAGCACTGGCCCAAGCCAGTCTTCGGCATCAGTCGCATGTTTGTGCTTTGGCCCTGCTCGCTGGTGGCGTTTGCTCAGTGGATCAGGAGTGCCTGGGTCAGGTTACCTGCTTCCCCTCCAGGTGTGCCCCTAAGTAGCTGCAGAATGAGTTGCCTAGGAACAACTCAGTCCCTCCCTGCTTGGTACAGGGAGCAGGCTGGGTGGAGTAAGCTGCCGCCACCTCTGTTTCCCCAGCCAGCGGGGACCCCACACTCCCTTGAGCAGCAGTCTGCACTCTTGTGCTGAGACCTGCTTCCCTAGGGGCTGGGCCCATAGCCCTGAGAGTGTGATCTGCCAGGGGAAGTAAAGCCAACAAGTGGCCCAGAACTTGAAGACTGAAATTGCGAATGACTGGGGACTGAAGAAGAGTGCCGAGTAGCCACAGAGGTCCCGACTGGTTGGGCGATGGCATGGCCAGGGATTTGGGTTGATGCTGCTTGCGGGCCCAGGTAGACTGGGGAGCTGGCTTGGGCACCAGCTCAGGCTTTCATGTCTGCTTGTCTGTAAAACAGCATCCCGCAGCAGTAGAGAACAAGGCTGCTTCTCTGCCTTTAATTAAAACAGTAGAGGAGAAAGTGTCTCATGTGGAAGTTGGTGTTCCCCAGAAAAGCGCTAAAAGCCTCCTTTCCCCAGCTGTGTTTCTTGTCATTTGCATCCTTTTTCCTTATTCTGCATCACTGAGAAGCAAACCTCACAGCCTGTGCGTGTTAGACAAGGGCTCTGCCACTGGCCCCCCAGCCCTCACCTTTATCTGCATTTACCTGTTCGAGGCTCATCCTGATTGTGGATGGTTGAAAGACTGATGCTGACCAGGAACGTTTTCACTGGCAGTGTAGGCTGAATCAGAAGCTGTGTGCAGCTCCCTGCGGGCCACAGTAAATAGTATTCGACGTTACCTAAAATAGAAATATAACTCTCTCTATATAATATTGAAAATGATGTATCTCTCTCATAACTCATTGGAAAAAAGATTGCTAATTTATTTAGATTTTATAACATAGAAGTTGAGGAATTTTTGATTCACTTTTTTTGATCAAAGGGAATGGATTTGGCATTGTAACCAGAGTCTTACTAAATTGTATGTTTCCTTAAGAGGAGGTGCTATCATCATTGCGTAGGTATGGAACAGTACAGAGGAGAACACTCTCATCGCACGCATTATATTTAGTACACACAGTTTGGCTATAACTGTTCTCTGAATATCATAAGAGTTTTGATTTTTGTCTCTGTGCCTACATTATTTTAAAATTGCAGAGTGCCAGTACTGTTCCTCACAAACATGTACCATTATACTCCAGTTGTTGGTAAGTTTTTTGGTTTTTGTATCAGGGATCAAACGCAGGACTTTGCACTTGCCAGGCAGGCACTGATGCCACCAAGCTATCTCCCCAGGCCCAATCAGTCTTTTACATAATCAGTTACTGGTTATCTGTCATAATGGGAATGGTAATACAATACTGGAAATGTTGTATTTTAAAATTATTAAACAATATAAGTCATTTAGTAGCAAGATTATTTTGGTTGCAAGTGACAGAGATCTGAACTCATTGGGTGACAAATAAAGGTCTTGGAACTGCAGCACGGGGGCCAGTGCAAGCCTTGGCTGGCTCGCACCATTGTCCCAGCCAAGCTCTTGTTTCCGGGGTACCACGCCTGGTACCCTCAAGTTACAGGCGAGGATCTATTTGCCTCACGTTTGTAGGGCACTCAATGGCTGGTCAGCTGGCTCCCCGCAGGAGTCCCACAGTGCAAGGGTACAACAGGCCAATCCTAATTAGGATTGGCCAACTAGGGCCAGCCAAATAGCACAGCAGATTAAGCGCCTGCAAGCAGGTGCAGGGGCCAGGGGTTGGATTCCCGGGCCTGTCGCGCCGACCCCACCCCTATCCCCACTCCCACCCCTCCTCCTGGGGTGCACTGATAACGGCGCATGGAGACAGCACTGGACTTGGTGGTGCACGCCTGTAATCCCAGCACTTAGGAAGCTGTAAACAGGAGAATCGTTGTGGGTCTGATGTAATAGTGAGACTCTGAATAGCCTGTTGACCCTTCCCTAAAATACAGAAAAAAATAAAATAAATAAATAAATGTGGATTTAATTAAAAAAAAAAAGTATTGGCCAACTCTAGGTGGGGCGTCCTGGAACCAGTAGGTTGTGCAGACTGATACAGAGGAAGAAACAAGTCCGTGGGGGAAACCTGGCTGCGTGTGCGAAGAAGAGGGTGGAGGTTTGTTGTAGAAGCCAGCAGCGATGACCATGACCTGAGCTGTCAGTCCATGTCTCTGTCCACTTGAGCCAGCAGCGGTGACCATGGCCAGAGCTGTCAGTCCATGTCTCTTTGTCCACTTGAGCCAATACTGAGGCTACGCTGGCTGGGTACAGGGTGTCAGTGGTAGAGGACCCTCAGGGAGGAGCTATGAGGTTGAGTGACACAGGGCTGGAATTGAAAACAAAATGCATAGCCTTAATGAAACAATAGTGTTGGATATCTGATAGTTTACCTATAGTCAAGAATCACTGCAAATGCTGGTCACAGTGGTGCACGCCTGTAATCCTAGAGGTTCCGGAGGCTGAGGCAGAGGGATCTCAAGTTTCTGCACAGTCCAAGCAACCTAGTATGATCTTGTCTTGTCTTAAAATAAAATATTTTTTAAAATGCTGTGGCACAGCTCATGGGAGAGTGCTTTCCTACCGTGTGCGGCCCTGGGTGCCACCCCATTATGGCCAAAAAAGGAAACCAAGATAGAATGCTGTTTAAGGTATTTAACAAGAAGTGGCAGAGAGATGACCAGAATGAATCCAGCAGGTCATAACGGATGCTGATTGCAGCAGGGCTCCTAGAGAGTTCTGGCAAGTGGCCAGCCCAGCCTGCTGGGAGGGGTTGGTGAGTGGCTGATTAGCTCTCTAAAAGTGTCTTGACTCAGTTTCCCAGGGAGCCCAGAACAGAGCACCGTGCCTGGCTTGAGTTACAGGGGCACACGTGTTCTCTCCCAGTTCTGGAGGCTAGAAGGTGTAGGCAGGCTTCAGGGAGGACCTCGCGCCTGCCCCCTCTCTCCTTGGCCCCCGAGTCACCAGCAGATGCTGGCGTTCTTTGGCTCCTAGCTCTACCATCTCAACTTCCATCCTCACTTGGCTTTTTCCTCTTTCTGCCCAAGTTTCAATGTCCACATTTCCTGCTTCTTAATAAAAAGATGAGCCACTTCCTGTTTAACTGTTATTACTTTAATTCTGTTAAAATAGGAATGTTGGGGTAACAATCTTACATATGGGTTTATTGAATTCAGACAAATTTTGCCTTAAAAACAGCTGGTTACAATTGGAAATTGTGCATCAGCGTATTCAAAAGCAATACAAAAAAGCAGGAGAAAAGTACAGCTGGTGAAGGATTGGGAAACCACTTGCAAGGAATGAACGAAAATAGTGGTAGTGGTCTGGAGCTTGAGGAAGAACAGGTCTGTGTAAAAGGGATGAGGCCCTAGTGAGCAGAATGAGAAGCACTAAGCGAGCACTAAAGGGGAGCATTCGATGTGGCCCAGGACAGAACCTCTTGGTGCGGAGACAGCTCACGTGGGAGGGAGGAGGAGGGGCAGGCAGGTGCTGCCGCACATGACCACCTTCTGAGCTTTCCTAGAGGTCTTGCCTGGAGGAAAACAGGGAAACAAGGCCCCTCCCAGCTTCTGGAGTTGTTCAGATCCCCTTGAAATCCTCCTCCATCCATAATCCATGAGCACCAATGTTCACCATGTGGCAGGATACTGCTGTGTGTGTGTGAATGCTTTTTAAATCTGCCAGCTGAAAGCCAGTCTAGCCTTGGTGCTACAGAATGAGGGGACAAAGAAAGCCCAGGATGGGGGTTCTTCAGGAGATGGGAAGACATCAGCAAGGGTGGAAGGCATGGCAAGGGCACTGGCGCCTCTTGGGGGTGCAGTGGTCTCTGTACCACCTCATTTCTTTGAACACGCCTGCAGGCTCCAGTGGACAGGGAACCTGGAGAAGCTGGGGTTTGGAGAGTGCTGAATTCTCGACCTAACTGGCATTTTCTCTGTGTCTTTTGGTGGTGGCACACAGGACTCTTCCGATGGTTACTTGTGCAAGACACACTTCCAGGCCAAGGCGACGGCAAGGTCTCTTCCAGGGGCATCCACAGAGGAAGGCGAGACGTGGTTTCCCATGGAGGTGAGTAGCCCAGGGCACTCGTCCCCTGTGCAGGATGATTTATATTTTTTCTTCTGTTTATTTTTGGAAAAAAGGTAAAACAAAATTTCATAACAAAATCATATGAAAATAACAATAATTAGTACATGTGGTTATCTTTAAACTAGATACTCAGCATATAAGCCATGGGAATAAAAACTTCTCCAGTCAACACTAGCACAGCCTTCCTTTTTAGTGACCTGAGAGACACTAGTAGTATAAGTGACTTCCATTTTCCCTTTTTCCCTGTTGTTCTTCCCTTTCACTAATCTTAGTTCCTTTTTGTTTTTTGTACAATTTTTCCTATTTCACAATATCTGTTGCACATTTTACAATGTATTCACTCTTTTTTTTTTTTTTTCTCATACCAGGGAGACAATAATAACATTTACCCATGTGAGTCTGATTTATTTAACTTATGAATATGGTCTCAAGTTGCATATATTTACCTATGAAGTCTCAAGTTTATGCCCCTTTATGGCCAGGTAGTACTCAACTGTGTAAAAATACTACATTGTTGTTACCCGTTCCTTGGTTGGTGAGCATTTGGATTGTTTCCAAGATTCAACTTTTACAAATTGTGCTGCTATAAACAAGGGTGCACTTATATCACTGCGGTTGATGTTTTTAATTCTGGGAGGATACCAAGATAGAGAATATCTCAGTCAAATGGGAGCTCTAATCCTACCTTTTAAAGGAATATTCATACCGATTTCCACAGTTGTTGCACCAGTCTGCACTCCCAACAGCAATATAGAAAGGTTCCCTTGTCCCCTCAACCCCTCCAGCATTTGTTATTGGTTGACTTCTTCATGATAGCCATTCTTTCCAGAGTGAGGTACAATCTCAGCATTGTTTTGATGTCTCTCTCAAATAACTAGGGATGTTGAACATATTTTTATGTATTTATTTGTCATTTCTTTTCTTCTTCCTCCTTCTTCTGAGAAGTAGGTGTTTATTTCAGATACCCATTTATTGAAGGGGTCTTTGAATTTGGGGAATCTGATTTTTTTTTTAATTTTTTATATTTTCTAGATAGAAGTCTTTTTTCTGAGAGACAATTGCCTAAGACTTTTTCCCACTCCATGTGTTGCCTTTTCACTCAGTTGGCAATTTCTTTTGCTGTGAAAAAGATTGAAGCATTTCCCATGCAGTCTGGGTTTTGTTCATGAAGTATCTGCATTCACCTATTTATTTAAGGTTTCCACCTACTTTCTCTTCCAGTAGATTTAGTATTTCTGTTTTAATATTTAAATATCTGACTTATTTTCATATTAGTGCAAGGTGGTAGATCCAGGTCTAGTTTTAGTTTGGGGCATGTAGAGCGCCAGTTTTTCCGGCACCATTTATTGTAGAAGCTATCTTTCTCCAGTGAGCATGTTTTGCTCCTTTATCAAAGATAAAGTGGCTGAGTGCATTTATAGTTTTTTCATCTTCTAATCTGTTCTGATAGTTTTTAGGTCTAGTTTTATTGCCAGTACCTTTCTGATTTTTATCACAGTAGCTTAGTAGTATAGTTTCAAGTCAGGGATTGTAATGCCTCCTGCTTTGAGTTTGTTACCCAAAATTGCCTTTGCTATTCTACGTTTCTTCTAGTTCCAGATGAATTTTAGGAATTTTTTTTTCTAGTTGTGTGAGATATGCTAATGGTATTTTGTTTGGGATTGCATTACATCTTATAACAATTTAGGGAGTATGGCTATTTTCACTATGTTGGTTCTTCCTATCCATGAGCAAGAGATATCTTCCTATTTTCTGATATCTTGTTCAATCTCCTCTTTTAGAGTACTATAATTTTCTTTTTTTTTGATATACAAATTATTTTTTAAATTTTAATGAAATGCATTTTTACCAAGTGCCATTGAAAAGGAGGGAGAGGGGGAATACACTGTATATAAAGTGATCAATAGTTTTACAAATTAATACTCAGTACTGATTCCAGCTTTCTTCTTTTTTCTCCCCATAATTTTATTGAGAAACAAATAGCAATGAGATAGTTTCAAATCAAATTGGTAAGACAGTTTCAATAATTAACACATTGCATACATTCTTCCTAGTGGTTGATTGCTGTACAAGATGCAGACATGATATCCTATTTGCAGACACCATTAGAACAAATCCCTCTATTCATTAAGAGAAAGTACAGAGTACTGTAATTTTCAACACATAGATTTTTTTACTTCCTTTGTTACATTGATTCCTAAGTTTTTCTTTCTTTTTTTTTCCCCCTTTTGGATGTCATCATGAAGGATGTAGTTTGCCTAATTTCTCTTTCAGTGAGTTTGTTGTTTTTGAATAGGAATGTTATTGAGTGTTGACTTTATATCCAGCTATGCTACTGAGTTTGAGTATTAAGTTTAGAAGACTTGGTGGAGTTTTTGTGGTCTTCTATGTAGAATATCATGTCATCTGCAAATAGTGATAATTTAACTTCTTCATTTCCTATCATTATTCCTTTTATTTCTCTTCTCTAATTGCTTGGGCTAGTGTTTCCTGAATTATATTGAATAGAAATGGTGATATTAGGCATCCTTGTCTTGTTCCTGATTTTAGAATATAAGTTTTTAGTTTTTTGTCCATTTAATATGATGTTGGCTATTGGTTTGTCATAGATGGTTTTTATCAGATTGAGATAAAGAGCATTTATTCTGATTTTCTGTAGGGTTTTTATCATGAGTGAGTGTTGGACTTGGTAAAAAGCTTTTTCTGCATCTGTTAATATGATCGTGTCATTTTTGTCTTTGGCTCTATTGATATGGTATATTAAATTTATAGCTTTGCATGTATCGAAGTCCTACATCCCAGGGTTGAATCCCACTTAGTCATGGTGTATAATCTTCTTGACAATTTGTTGCATTCTGTTTGATAATATTTTATTGAGGATTTTTTCATCTATATTCATTAGAGAGATTGGCCTGTAGTTCTTGGTTTTGGTTGGGTCTTTCTCTGGTTTTGATATCAGGGTAATATTTGCCTCTAGGAATAAGTTAGGGAGTATTCCTTCTCTTCCAATTTCATTAAGGAGCAAGAATTTTTGGTATTAAATCATGTCTAAATTTCTTGTAGAATGGAGCAGTGAATCCATTGGGACCTTTATGGATAAGTTTTTAATTATGTTTTCAGTTTCATTGACTGACACTGTGTTGTTTACAATTTTCATGCCTT